ACACATCCAGTCCATTAAACATTATAGATTAACCTATTTTAAACATGCGCAGAATTCTCACATTAGCCTACAGTTTGGCAAAGTCCTTCTGAGACAAAGCTGTTTTACAATGCAGTGCTGAGTATCTTATGACAGATGGCATAGTGGCAGCATCTTCAGACTCGACCACCTGGTCATATAGAGCATTAGTTGCTGACCTTCATGGTCATGGTGGTCAGCGGGTGTCGGGGTCACTGCTGGTGTTCAGCATGAGCATATCTAGCTGCTACAGTCAGAAACAGGGAAACTGAAAGGGCCACCCCTTTTCCTTCATTCAGCAGTGGACACAGCACCACCTGGTGATTATCCCTGCTTAAGCTGAGGAGGTTGGATGCCCAAGAGGTAGACCATTAGGCCAACGCCAGTGAGAGGCAGCACAGGAGGCACCTGGAGATACAGGTCTGTGACCTGCTAAACACTGCAGGCCTGAGTTGTGGTGAAGCTCCTGGAGAGTTCCTCTTTCTTCTGCATGTTCCTGCTACTGCCATGCCATGACCTTCAATAAACAGAGTAGCTACTTAATACTTACTCTACTTACTCTAAAGTGTACACTTGGCAGCTCTTTCCTTATTGTACGCAAGACTTGGACTATTTTTGGTCCATTCAGCTGTAACACAACTGCCTATCACTAGACCCACAAAAGAGAAAAATTCAAAGTCCAAAGCAAATTTTCTTCCAAATATGCATTACTTCTGCACTATTTTAGAGCCGAAAACTCAGAAGTCAGACACACTTACTCAGACACCAGCTGCAATTCGGCAGTTCCAGAATGAGGTACTGAAGAGATGGATCTTTGCCATCCACGTAAAAACCCATTTTGAAACTAGGCACAGCCAGATCCTAGTGTCTAGGAATCTACACTAGACTAATGAAAGTGTAAGAAGTCCATGAAAGTCAAAAGGTGGTTACTTCAGGCAATGTAGAGATTCACACTTCTGACGTGCAAGTGCAGCGTCTTCAGGCTACGATAAAGTTCTTGTCTTCACCCGAGTGCTAGTTTTAAAGGTGTGCTATGACCTTGTTCATCTCAGAATATCTTAATATATGTATATCTTTTATGTGAATTCAAGTATTTTATCAATGAAAAATGAAAAGAAAGTGTTACACATTTTTTCAAACTGAAAGTGGACACAAAGTGGAGACATACAATTTCTTTTGCTATTGCAATTCCCTGACCCTGTCGCATCGTTTCTGAACACTAATCATTCCTTTCCTTGGTGTCTATGGCTCAGCCAGCATAGAAGCCTAAGGCCCACAGGAAGTATAACTCTAAATTGTGTTTTCACTCATTATACTCCAGCCCCTACATGATTTTCCTGTGTGGATTTTGGTGCTGTGTGATCACATCTGCCTCTAGTCTAGGTCCTGGTGGGAGCCTGGAGATACCAGGAGGCAGAGTGTTACTAAATACAAACTGCTGAGTGAAGGTTACCAAAGGAATATTTAATAATTTTACAATTATCAAGTAAGTTTGATGTAACCTGTTTTCAGGTTGCATTTCAATCAGGGATGTCTACTTTCCCCATAGCAGTAGCAGCAGAGGAGTGGTCACAGCCTTCCTGGTGTGAGGAGTGGGGGCAGAAAGGTCTGGAGCACAACAACTGCAAACACAGAGCATCAAGTCAGACAAGAGAAACAGCTCACTTCATGGGACTGAGGGGTGATGTAAAGAAGGTTTTACATGAAAAAAATTTGGAGAAATAAAGTTAAATACCGAGCAAAGTAAATTCAGGCCTCTGTTTTAAGAGAGAAATTGTTTAACTGACAAGTGCTTCAACACAAATGACAGGTGGGGCTTCAATGCATAAAGAAAAAAGAAATGTTCAGAGAAATTTACACAAAAGTAACTAAGGCACATTAAGCAATTCTGTAATTTCCTATAGATGAACAAGTTGAAGAGATATTAAAATCACATGATGTATAACATAGTCACTGTGTATAATTATCATACAAATCACTGCCTAATGTATATAATTTTCATTTCAAATTGTGATTCTCACACAATCTCCTTGTTATATTAAGAATAGTGGTAGGAGGAATTAGAAGCTGAGAACATGAGTTTTGGTCACTGTTTTGAATCTTCTAAAACTTTTTAGTATATCCCACCAGGAGTTTGGGAGCTTATATTGACAACCAAGGGCTTACCTCTATATAGTTCAGTGGGTTTTAAGGTTCACCAAACCACTGTCTATGTGCATTCTCATATACTAAATGCTTTTAGTACCAGCAACAATTCAACACAATTTTTTTGACATTTGGAATCCAGTAAATATTGTTTGGAGGTCAGAAGAAGAATATAAACATCTAAGAACTCTACTTAAATATTTTAACCACTTCTTACATAATTCAAGACAACAAATGCAGGCTAACAAATTACTGGCTAATGTGTTTTAAAACTTTATATTACCAAACACTTTTTAATAGAAAAAGATAAATGTTTATGAGCATAAACTGCGAAGTTAATACCATGTAGTATTTATAGTGAATTTCCAAAACAGTGTGTCAGTATTTGGCTTAATTCAAAAGGTTCCTACAACGCCACATGTACAGAGTGGTGGTAGCTATACATATCTTTGATACATGTTTCTAAAAATACATTGTAAGATGAAATTTGAGTATTTCAATGCCAATATTTCTAAGGAAAATGCTATCAACTCTTGGAGAATTTTCAAACATCAGTTATAACTTCTCATGAACTGAAAAATTTCATTTGAGATGAAAATTCATTTGATAGGCCTAAAATATATAAATGTCTGATTATTTACCTGGCAGGCAACTATAGTGAAACCTGACTCCTAAATTTTTACAAGGCTTGAAAATACATTTATCAATGTCTGCTGCAATTTTTATCTGACAGAAAAGACAGCCAAACATTAAAATAATAAATCAATTTGAATTTGAGAAAACAGAAAGTTACTTTATAGTCCAGATGACAACTACAAAATTTAACTGTGAGAGGTTTGTTACACCACATTTAATTTTTGCTGGACAGTTTTAAAGGTATGAATGGTAGGTCATAACTGTTATTTATATAAATTAAATCCTGTAAAAAAAATGACTACAAAATATGAAGTAAATTTAGAAATACCATTTATGAATTTTGGAGTGACATTTAAAAAATCTCACATTTTCTTAGTATTTAACATTAGGAAAAATTATTGAATTCAAATAAGTTTGTATGATATTTATGTTATCTTTTGGAATTATCAAATTGTAATGTGTCTCATACAGATAGATCAATGGAGTGAGAAACAACATGGATAGTCTGAGACGAAATTATATGTCTCATCTATGTTAATTTACACTTATTACACTATGCCATGCTTCATGTAATATTCCAAAACTATAATAAATATAGATGGTATAACTCTGATAATTTATGATTAGCTTTTTGTATTTTTTAATCATCAAATTTAAAGCTTAAAAATATGTATGTGTATTTTCTAATGTACTATAAATAAAATAACAATGAACTAAGATGGAATGAAAGAACTCTATCTCATATAAAATATTTAGAACTTCTTATATAAAATCATACATAAAACTTCAGAAGAATAGAAGCCAATCAATATTACTTCATAGAAAATAATTTTTATGCATGATAACAATTACAATGTTCTTTAGCAATAAATATGTAAATAATTATCCTGAACCATTATAACATGTGACACATCACTTTCATTTCTCCATTTACATTATCTCTTTGTCCTTTAATGCAGATTTTGGAACAGCTGTTATCACAGTTTTAAAGATGAAAACCTTGGGAGTTACAGTGTTGAAAATATGTTTTCAAGGTTATATTTCTAGAAAACAATATTATGTTTCAACATTTGTTCTGTCTGAGTCCTCAGTTTGTAGAAATGATCGTTAGAGGGAATTGCTGTTCTGTTTATTCTCCCTGTCTCCCTCTCATGGTGATCCGGTTAAGGGGTGTGATGAAATCTTCCAGTAGCAGGGACTGGGAAGCAAGAAGAGACACACAGAGGCAGAGCTCAGGACATGTGAATGAGCTGGTGTTCTCTGACCAGGGAGGAAACTGAATGGTTAGGCATCAACGCCCAAGGGAGCACAGAAGGACAAATGGGGGAGTCCACATTTAGTGCAGCTGATGGGAGAGGGGCGGCACAGTGGGCAGTGAGGGCATTGTTGGGCTGTGTTCTCCTGTGAACACGATGCTGTGTGCGCGAGCTCTCCTCATGCACTGCACCAGGACCTCTTACAGAAGTCTGAGTGCAAAACCTATAGGTGATCAATAATTATCACAGGCCTGTGCATGCAGTTGTCCTCTCCACAGACAATTGTGTTCACATAAGGACCACCTTTCCAGTCAGGGTGTGCATCTACCAGGTAGCAGCTGGTAAACTAAAGCAAAAAATTGGAAATAAAATATTCAAATCTATGCTGCTGGTTACACTAATGTTTTCACTTAACAAGCTAAACTAGCAAGGCACAAAAGGAAAGGCTCTTGGTTTATAAGGAAATTTCAAGGTCTTAAAGAAAAACGTAATACTGACTAAAATAAAAACACAAATACATGCATTGCTAATTAAATTAGATATGAGAAAGGAATACTATCAGAAAAATTCACCTAGAATTATAATGTTTTAAGTTTCTAAGTTTCTTTCAAATTCATTAAATCTAAAATTAATATCAGTTTTATATTGAGCATGGACAAAAGTTTTCTTATTTGATGACATTTATTCTTTTGTAAGGTCGTGTTATGTAACAAATTTCTTTTAACCACATTTTACTAAAATTCACAATAATCATAACAATTAATTTCACTTACTAGATATCACTTTAAATTTAAGATGCCTATAAAATTAAAAAATGTGTTAGTATTTATTTAAGAGAGAAACTTAAAATTATAAAAATACTTTGAGATAATTTTAAGGTTACTGAAAAAATGAATCTGTTTCTCCCCAAATGATTATGATTGTTGCTTTTTCTCTTCTAATTAAACAAACATTAAACAAACAATGTTTAATATTCATAGATGAAAAATTATGCCATCAGGCCTCCTATAAACAAGGCACTTTTGTTAATTTCTAATTGATTGGGAGAGTGGCATCATTGCACTATAATTGATTTTTCTCTCTTCTATTTTGTGCAGCCCAGTGGTTTTTTGTGTGGTTTGCTACTATAAAGTGATTCCTTAATTTAATTTGTAGAAGCTGAAGAGCTTATTGTGTTTTAGCAGTCCCAAATATTTATTTACTAGCATGAACTTGATGTTTTTTTAATCTCAGGCTTTAAGAAAAGAGAGTAAGTCTGATCAGAAATAATACAGTAGAAATTATGCAAAGATTTATTTGTCAGCTATCTTTTAAAATTGATTTTCCCTGAAGCTCAATTGTTGCTGAAGAAAGTTATAGAACACAGTGACAAAATGGAAAAGGTAGAAACAAATCAAGGTTGCCAAAAAGAAAGATACTCTTAAATTATGCCTTGCAACAAATTAGGGCTCAAGGGAGTGTGACTAATACCTGATATTTAAAATGATCTAAGCTACTGAAAGGCTACATGTATATGGATGAAATTCCAAATGTAGACTTTGTAAAAATTCCAAACCAATAATCATGTTGGTTGTACAATACATATAAAGTAGGGTATTGATATTGTTGAAACATAATTAAAGAGGAAAACTGAGGTACTGTAATTTATTTTTATTGTGATTTATTTTTTAAATTGTTTTGGCATTGTAATTTAAAACAAATTGCAAAGAGGCTTAGTGACTTTGATGATAAAGTGGACACAGTGCCATTTACTAAATATGTCTGATATCTGCAGTTTGGTTTCCTTTAAGAAATTTCAATTTTTATAATAAACACATACAAAAAACCAACGTCCAATACACATGTGATTGCTGAACATTTGAAGTGTGTTTGGTGAATGAGAAAATGAATTTTTAATTTTGTTTAATTTACATAAATATAAATTTAAAAATGAAATTATTTCAACATTTTTAAATGTGTTTAGACAATATGATGTATATGTTATATTTTCAACCTTAAATTTTATGGGATGTAAATATAGATCAAATAATTCTAATGAAGAACTAACCTCCAGGTTAAGATGCCCAGAAATGAAAAATACATAACCAGTTTCAAAACCAAGTTAAAGTGATAAATTATTTGAAAGAAATTATAATTCTGATTACATATAGTATCTATATACTGGGTTAAAGTAATTTTAATCATTTATTTTTAATGTAGCTGCTGAGACGATTAGAATTCCATGTGTGGATCATATATTTTTCCATTGGATAATACTGACTGAAACAGACTACTGATTACTGAATTTAAATATATTATTAGGACTGTATTCTAGGACAGTATATGCTAATTTATTTTTTCTCTTATTTCCACACTCATTCCCAACCCACCCCTGCTCCCCTCATACATCAACAAATGGGAGAGGCAGGTCTGTGCACGCCCTACCGAGGTCCTGAGTCATGCAGAAGATGTCGAATCACCCTGCTGCAGACAGGCAGGTCTGCCCACACCCTGTCTAGGTCCCCAGTAACGTGGAACACACACCGAATCAGCCCGCTGCAGACAGGAAGGTCTGTGCATGCCCTACCGAGGTCCTGAGTCACGCGGAAGACATTGAATCATCCCACTGCAGACAGGCAGCCACCTGATTCCACATTACCAAGGTGCAGAGGACACCAGACCACCAGACCAAGGTACTGAGTCCCACTGTTTCCAGCCCAGAGGTAGGGGCTTCTGAGCCGTGGTCCCACTGCTCCTGGTCCAGAGGAAGGGTCTTCCCGGTCACCATCCCTCCACTGCTCCCA